GTAAAATGTATTGAATTTCAGTGTGCTTGTAGTGAAGCACCTAGCGTCGGAGCACTTGCTGTAGCACAAAGCGATAGCAATAAATGATGCTTAAGTGGAAGCCTCTCATCTTATTTGCTCTGCTATTTTAGGATGGAGGTAGCATCTGTAAGAAAGTGATATAAGCAGTGCAACACATCTTGTTTTACAAAGCAGAAGTGAGAAAGCCTGATACAGGCAGCTTTAAAATGGAGGGGCAGAGGATGAGAGGGAGAAGGGCACTGCATTCAGCCCTGAAATCCCTGTCCACGGGAGTAGGCGGGAACTTTGTCATTAGCTAGCAGGATTTTACTGTATCTCTATAATGGTCATACAGGGAAGAAGGTTTGGGAGCAGGTTTTGAATAGTGCTGGGTTTAATGCAGCTGTTATTTTATGGCCTGGTATCCATTTTGTAGGGATTGAATTCTTCTTTTCACTTAAAGAATTTTCACTCTGAAGAGTGAAGCATCCCTCAAGTCTGCAGAAGACACAGATCAAAGTCATACTAAAATGTGGTCTTGTGCATACAGTTCGTGTTTGCCAGAAATGTAGTTTATTCTCAACAGATTCAACATTTAGGGTTTGTTTAATTGTTAGATTTAAATGTTAAAGTATTTTGTCTTCCTCTGATTAAGATACGGCAGTCAAAGATACACAAAAAAAGATACACAAAAGATACAGCAGTCTTAAGATACAGCAAAACAGAAATATTATAAGGATCCATTCAATGTGCCAGGTTGAAGGATTGGAAGAGAAGGAAAACAGATGGAATTCCCCTCAACTTCTTCCTTAGCCAGCTCCAGGGATGAGGAAGCAAAGGGACAGACTGTGCTGCCTCCAGCCCCACAGAGTCCCAGCTCCAAAAGGCCTGTGATCGCCACGATGGCAGACAACATCGCCTTAACAAGCTGTTTGTTGTGGCCCTAGAAGTGAGAACTGTTTTTCTCCTTGCTCGTTAGGCGCCATCAGGCTGAACACGCTCATAAATTTGACCTCAGTATGACTGTTGGATTATCCTCTTGCTTTTTTCCAGGGTGAGCTACTTTATGGTGGAAGGGAAATTTTTCCTTTATCATTTGTTTTAAGTATTGATAAATAAAGAACAGTCTCTGTGATGAGTATTGATTTCAGCTGAGTTTGGACACTTTGTTATTCTGGTGCCTTAAATTACCAAGCCTCTAACAGTCAGCTTCCTAATATAGCAGATAGTTTGTCAGCATCCCCACCAGGGCTTGTTCCCACGTGCTCGGGTGGCATTTGCATACCCAGGAGTTCAAGGTGATGGGAAGCACCCTGCCTCTTTCGAAAGCTCTATTATTAGTATTGCTGTTATTTGTAAAAACAAGCAACCTGTTCCCACTCCCATTACCAGTAACAAAAACCACAAAGTAGATATCAAGTAGATAATAAACCCCAAAGTATATAAATATATAAAATAAACCCCAAAATATATGAAGTGGATAATAGTGAGATCACTAGAACTTAGAGAATGGCTTTATTTGCTTTCTGACTTATTTGCATTTGTCTGTGACATGGTGAGTGTTCAGACTTTTGCATAGTTTCTGGGAGGAGGCGTTATTTTTAAGCACAGAAAAATTGAGTTGTAAAGCCTCAAATCAGCAAGGCGTGCTTTCAAACTGGAATTGACCCTTGCCTTTGTAAAAACAATTTTAAATGTCTTGGCAGGCAGGAGACAGTGAGTAGGCAGAAATATTTTGCCAGCTCCAGGTAATTTAGTTGGCGTATTCTGAGCTACCTGCAAGGCAGCAAATCACATTGTGAAATTGGGGGGGGGGGGGGGGGGGGGGGGGGGGGGCCTTTTTTACCACACCCTGTTTTGTGTTGTGGGTGTGGGG